CCACATGTTAAAAAAAAAACATATTACTAAATAATCTTGGGTTTAAAAGAGAAACCATAAAGGAAACTAAAAAGTATTCAAAACTGAATGATTGGAAATTAATATAGGAGAAATTGAGATGTTACAGACTTCCCGGTGGGAGAGGAAAACCCACGCTGGGTGATTTTACAAGTGACTTATCAGGTTGGGGGCTGTGTGAGTGTGTGTATGTGTGTGTGTGTGTGTGTGTGTAACAACCCAACTCATTATTTTCCCAGACCATTTTTAAATAAATCTGGAGCATCATACATAGCATTTCAATATAAATAGTTCTGAAATTATTTTTAGTAGCTCTATAAGATAAAAGAAAAAAACTTTATCTTATAATATACAATGCCATCATCACAATTAAATAAGAAAGAAACATGATTCCATCATCCAGCATGAACTCATAATTTAAATTCCCTGAGGTAGATAGAGAGACAGATATTTAGTTGGCTCAATTCATGATCCAAACAAAGTCATACACTGCAATAGTGAGTATCTCACTTGTTCTCTTGGGCTGTCTCTCCTATAAATTGGTAGCCAGGTTTTTAGCTTTATAAAATCCATATCCACTACTCTTGTTTGGATGTCCCCTCCAAAACTCACGTTGGAATTTAATTGTAATTGTAACTGTATTAAGAGAGGGAACTTTAAATAGGCCTCACAAATGGACAAATGCTGACATCATATGAGTGGCTTAGTTATCTCAGGAATGTGTTCCTTATAAAAAAGACAGGTTTGATCCAGTTCCCCCTCTGTCCCACACAAGCTTGTTTGCTATTTTGCCAGGTTATGATGCAACATGAAGGTTCTCAGACAAGATATCAGCACCATACTCTTGGACTTCCCTCCTGAAGAACTGTGAACCAAATAAACTTTTTTTTAATAAATTACCCAGTTTGTGACATTCTGTTATAGAAGCAGAAAATTGACTAAGACATCTGTTACCTCATTCAGTGGTAAAAAAAAAAATGGTGATATTTTAATTTTATCAACTCTTTTCCGATTACTAGCTTGACTATTTCTCTATTTAAAAATGTTCTTTGTCAACTATTTGATAACCCTGAGATTAGGATTCAGAATGAAAAGACAGGATGAATGATTATTTACCAATTTTCAAGACAATGTGTTGATTCTCCAGTATCTTCCAACATGTGACCAATAGGTTGTTTTCATTTGGGTTAAGAATCAGCGTGAACTCATGGATTTAGACATATTAATTATTCTGATTTATCGAAGTCCTGTTCTTGTGGATGCTCAGATTGTCTGATCATTAGGGACCAGTAGGGACCTCCTAAGTTGATTCCTGAGGCCTCTGTAAAGCCCTGGTTCTTGTTAGTAGCAAATGGTATTTAGAGGCCACAATCTGTTCCAGGAGTAGCCATTGCTACTAGGCTGATCAATTTCTGTATCTTTTCCATAAATAGAGCAAAGAAATTTGAATATGCCATAAATTCAGACTGATACTTCTAACTTAATTATCCTCACTTATCTCACATCCACCCTTCCATATTTTAAAAAAAAAGTGCCAGTTACAAATTAACATCCACATAATTGCATTTTTTCATTTTCTACTGAGCACAAGCGCGCGCGCACACACACACACACACACACACACATCTCTGCCTAACATCAAACCACAACCAAAAACATAATGACTGAAGGACAGACAAAGTGATACACATCTGTAATTCCAGCTACTCTGGAGGTCAAGGCAGGAGGATCACAAGTTTTAGGCCAGTCTGGGCAATGTAGGGAGACTCTGTCTCAAAAGAAATTTAGAAGGAGTTTGGAAATGTAACTCAGTGGTAGAGCTCTAGCACTCACCTAGCATGTGCGAAACCTGGGTTCAAGCCCCAGTACAGCACACACACACACACACACACACAAATTACTAAACACAGTTGTGTTTTATTTTGGTTTTGTTGTTTTTTGTTGGTTTGTTTGTTTGTCCTTAGAGTACAATACACTGGAGACATACATGACAAATTACTGTTCTTTAAAGTTATTTAAGCTATTTCCTCCATGTGGTTACACCACCCCCTTAACCTACATTTAAGCTCCCCTATTTTATTTTACCTTGAGTTTTTAGAGACTTTAAATTTTTTAATTGTTTGTATAATGATGTAAAATATTCACATGGTTCTGAAGTCAAATGTAGAAAACAACATGCATTCAGAAAAGTATAACTTTGTTTCCTCTTTCCTCCACTGGAAGACAATCATTTTACTCTTTATTTTACTTTGCATTTTAAAAGAATTATAAGGAAGTATACATACATTTTTAAACATCCCTATTTTAGTAAATCTACCAATTTCTTTAAGATATCTAATTCCTCATTTACAAAGTTATTCTAGAAGTAGAAAATAATGAAAGTTGTCTGGATCATTATTGGAGCAGATATAATACTGATTTCAAACAGGTAAGGATCAAGGAAAGAAATGGATAAAGTCACTTCACTTACAAAATACAGTAGATAGAAGGAGAAAAATTAGAAATCTACCTCAACTGACACAGAAAATGCCTATCATAAAATCAGTACCACTTTGTTTTTTAAAAAGAACGCGTCTTGCTCCAATGTCCAGATAAGGTACAGCAGACATCCCATGTGACAGAGGGACTTTCCTTGTACTCCATTTATTATGAGGAACAAGACAAGAATAACTGGAAATATCAACAGAATCAACTGACAAGACATTGCATCTAGCAAGAGAGCTCAGGAAGGTGAACGGATATTAGACCAAGTGAAAGGAATCCACAGTGATTCTTCCTATACTTCACCTGCATATTAGTTTCCTAGAGCTATGAAGACAGAGGACTAAAAAGCAAGTAGTTCAAAATGACAGATTTGTCGCCTCATGGTTTGGGGGGCTAAAAGTTGAAGATCAAGTTGCTGGATCAAGATGCTCCCCTCAAACCTGTAGGGGAGTCTTTCCTTACCCCTTTCTAGCTTCGGGTAGTTTTCTGACCATATCTGGCATCTTTCCAGCACCTAAGGGCAAGCCCACCATCAATTGCCCTCATTTTCCTCCTTCCCTGAGTTCGCTCCCAACCTCTCACAATGCCTGCCTTCCTCCTCCTCAGCCATCCAGCACGAACACGAAATTCAAGGACATTCATCACATTATAAGTAGAGCTGTGTGCTATTTCAATTGGCAACAGGCCACGTGTATTGGGTGGCCCCATAAGATTCTAATGGAGCTGAGAAATTCTCATGCCCTAGTGACCTCGTAACCCTTGTGATGTGGAGCAGCTCATCACTCACGTGCTTGCAGAAAAGCTTGTGTAAACATGCCTACAGAGTTGCCAGTCTTTACACAAAAGTATAGCACATACAATTATGTATAGGACATAACACTTGGTAATGATAATAAACAACTGTGCTACTGGTTTGTGTATGTACCTGTATTTTTAATTATTATTTTGGAGTAGGTTCCACTTATTTAAAAAAAAAAATGTTTTTCACTGTAAACAGTATGCTGTGTTATGCCTGCAGCAGCCTCACACATCTTATGTTTACCCAGACGCAGGTTTCCTCTCATGCTAGATTGAATTGAATTTCATATTGTTTTGTCCATAATGATCTTAGCAGGAAAAGGCTACACACACACGTATACTTGTATACACTGGGTAGCCCACAGGTGTAGGAGGCTATTCCATCTAAGCTTGTGTAAGTTCACTCTATGATAGCTGCACAATAACAGAACAACACTCTTCTCAGAATGTACCCCATCATTAATGATATAGCCATCTATATGAAAGATCCCTATGTCATTGCTTCGGCTGAATTGAAGTGCCTAAATGTCTTTCATATGGTGACACTCTAACTGATGATAACTTGGCTCCTGGAGCCTTAGAGCATGAGCTAATTACAAAGGTAAAGTCCTAAGAATCCCAGCAGACCCCAAGATGGAGAAGGAACAGAGGGAGATGGATGCCAGTCTCAAAAACAGGAAAGACTACATTTGAGAACACATTTCCCAAATTGCCATGTTACAGAATCACCTATTGAGCCATAGAGTTTCAAACTCTGGAACATGAATATGTGTATGCACATGTATAGGCGTGCAAGTAGAGTTTTTAACATAAATAACAATACAATCTAGCTGACTAAATATATATATATATATATATATATATATATATATATATATATATATCCCATATTAATAACATGTTTATAATCTAGATATTACAATATGACCTATATACATAAGCACACTGTAACTAATATGAATAGCTATACAAGTATATTACCGGTATAACATACATCAGGTTACACATGATGCTGCATGTAAATGTATGCAGCTTCCATTCATTCTAAAATATTTATTAGCAAACCACAATGTGTGCCAACTCCATGATCCACATAGAGTATATTTTAGGATGATAATTTGTGAGCAAATATTCCTCTTAAAAATAAATGTACAATATCAATATTAGAGAAGTAGAACAAAAAAGCAATTTTTTTCAAGCCTAGTTTTTTCTGATCAGACTAATAAAGAAAATCGAGTAGATCTGTCTCTTCTCAAAGTAACCAGATAAGGTTGCATCTATAAAAGAAAAAAATACGTCGTGACTAGGATTAGAGCAATTTATGAGAGAATTTTTATGTACCTTTATTATAGAGTTTTTTTGGTTTATCAACTTTCTTTCCCTCTATAACTTACAGAACAACAACAAATAAAAGAAAAAAACTTTAAAGGAAATGATTGGTTTCTCACCCAGTTGTTGACCACACTTAATATAATTTTTTAAATGGGCTACCTTGTAGAGTTCCCAAATCTGTCAGAAGTCAGTATGTATCATTAGGTCACCGTTGTCATCCGTGTTGCAATTGTAGGCATCGCCCTCCTTTATTTGGTTTTGTATTGTGCCTTTAGTTCCCACGATTCCCAGCATCACCCCTCTGCTGCTGTTTCAGGCCCGCAGTGTTGTCCCCAGGATTACTGCCACAGCCTCAGTTTCCCCAGGGAACTAACCAATGCTGCACACGGCTGCAGTTAGACCCCCTCTCCACAGCCTCCCAGGCCCATCCCACTGCTGTGTGTCCCAGCTCCAGCAGCAGCAGACGTGTGCTCTGAGCAAGTCACTTGCTTCCTCTCTGTACTCTTTCCTGTCCTTGCAGTGGGCACAATAATAGTTCTCCCATTACCGTGTGATACGTGACACATGTAGTTTTTTAGGAGAATGCCTGGCTTTTAAGGGCAGCATGAATGCTCCTTGTTTTGACCGTAGATGCTGCTATTGTGGTTAAACTATCAGACTTCCAAATCAAAGACTTATTCTTCCTTTCCTTGCTTATTTCTAACTATTTATGGTAATAGGCTTTTCATCAAAATTACGGTGGCAAGCTCCCATGTATGTCTTAAACTCTTCATTCCTTGTGTTTTGGTCTTCTTTTTGGAACTTCTGTCTTCAATCAACTCCACTTATCAAAACATTTCTAACTCCGCAAAACACACTCCAAAATGTTACCTATTTTAGTCAGCTTTGGCTTCACTGTGACTAAAAGACCCAACAAGAACAATGCGGAGGAGGAAGTTTATTTGGGCTCATAGTTTCAGAAGGTCAGCCCATGGTTGATTGACTCCATAGCTCTGGGCTTAAGGTGAGACTGAAAGTCATGGAGGAAGGACATGGTGGAGGAAGGCAGCTCAGGACATGGCTATAGGAAGCAGAGACAAAATATAAGCCTCAAAGACATGCCCCCAGTGACCTACATCCTCTTCCAATCCTACCTTCCTATAGTTACCACCTGGTTGATCCATATCAGCAGATTAATCCACTGATTCGGTTATAACTCTCATAACCCAAGCATTTCGTCTCTGAACATTCTTGCATTGTCTCACACATGAGCTCACACATGGCGGACAACTCAAGTCCAAATCACAACATTATCTCCTTCTTGAAGTCATTCCAGCTCTTTTTTAAAATATTTTTTTTAATTTTAATTTATTATATATGACCATTTCAGCTCTTTTGAAGTACACCTATTCCCCATCCAACACAAAGTACCTCCTGCCCATTATATGTCACATCAACATCGACTTTTTACCATGTTCATTATTGTTTTACCTTGTGTTTTTTGGTCATTTGTATATGACAGGATTTTAAATCACACAGGGACATAGTTATTTGTGCATCCGTGATGGCTGCAACTCATGGAAGATCATAATTAATGGTAGTTTAATGAAAATAACTAAAGAATAAAACCAAAGGAAACTGTTCAGATTTTATTTTTGCATTTTATTAATAAATTTTTAAGACTTTGTCTAGGAAGACTACAGAAAGTTGAGGTCAAGTTTGGTACACATAAGAAGATCTCATGTGAGATAGAAAAGAATTAAAAGTAGAAAACACGGTAGAAACCATTATTCCATTTTGCTGGTCTCAATAATCAAGATATCCTCCATCTTTGTTCTTGGGTGGCATTGCATGGCATACCCATATAATTTCCTTAAAAGGGGAGAAAAATTGTCAAGATGCTGGCACATGTCTACAATCCCAGAGACTTAGAAAGCTGAGACAGGAGGAGCACAAATTCAAAGCCAGCCTCAGCAACATAGCAAGGCCTTTGGCAATGTATTGAGACCCTATTTCAAAATTTAAAAAGACAAAGGATGTAACTCATGCGTGAAGCACCCTTCTGGGTTTAATCCCCAGTACTAAAAGAGAGAGAGGAAGGGAGGAGGAAAGGACAGAAAGGAGGAAGGAGGAAAGGAAGGAAGAAAGGAAGGGGAGAGAGAGAGAAAAAGGGAGGGAGGGAGGGAAGGAGGAATGAAGGAAGGAAAGACTAAAACTACGGGGTGTTAGAATCAAGGAGGATTGTGCTGGAGTCCAGGTGCCATGGAGACAGCCTGCAACAGAAAGAATGGGAGGGAAGAAAGCCTTAACAAGGGGAACAAGCAAACTCCCAGCAGCACCTGCAGACAGGTGGATTAATCAACAGAAAGGGTCCTGGCAGCACCTGCCCAGAGGCTTGTGGCCCCCTAGCAGCAGCACTGCTTCTGGCAACAACATTTCTGCTGGCAGCAGCCCTTCCCACAGCCACAGCCACAGGAGCCACAGCCACAGGAGCGGCAGCAGGTGCGGCGGCAGCAGCACACAGGGGTGCTGCAGCAGCCCCCACAGCAGCCACGGCAGCAGGGGCAGCAGTTGGAGCAGCAGCCGACCCGGTAGCATCTGCATGTGGTGCAGCTGTTGCAACTACCACAGCCACCACAGCCACCGCAGCCACCGCAGCCTCCACAGCCAGAGCAACCCATGGTGTCAGTAGAGAGGACTCAGGTGCAGTGAGGAGAGGACTCAGGAGAGGAGAGACAGGTCTGGTGCCTCCTTCTGCTGGGGAGCTGCTTATATACCAACTCCAACAATCTCAGCCCTACATATGCAGCCAGTAGCTAGTTTCCTGTTGTTGTTTATCCCAATCCCCATAAAAGACCTCGTGAGGCCTCGTGCATCCTTCCTTGATGACTCTCACCATTGCTAGATTTAACTTTTCCTCATTTCTTAACTCTATATTTAGATTAGAACATATTTCCAAGACATTTGGGTCCATGAGAACGTAAATGTATGTACGTTTTGTTCTGGAGCTTTAAATAGTACCTGGCACAATGTGAGTATTCAGTGGATATAATAAATGCCTAATATATTTTAAATAATTCTTTCTATAGCATGAGAGTCTGAATCTAATCAAGTAAAAGCTCTGTGTTTCCATTTATACTTCCTAATCATCACAGGTTAGACAAAACATTTTCTCCACATAAGAATTCCTCACACCCCAAAATTAGGACAATGCTCTTGAAAGAATTAGTAAAAAAAACCATAAACAAATGGTACAGAGTAGGCACTCCTAATTTCAAATCATATTTACATATTTACATATCACATTCTATCTCATCTTAAAACACAGCTATTCTTTTTCTGACTGCCTGAGATCCTTCATTCAGCAGAACTGCTTGATTATTGAAAACTATATTAAAATAATTGTGTGATGTCAGATGCTAAAAATAAATTTTATGAGTCCTAAGTTATCTGCTAAGGGCAAGGCAACTATTTGCTGTTTTTCTGTTAAATAGTTGAGAAAACAAAAATTTTAAAAAGTTCCATCTGGTGACTGGTCACTTCATACCTCTCTGACATGTACTGTAGCTGGGACTCGGTGTCAGCCTGTCCATGCACTGATGGATGCTCATCTGCAGTGCTTTGCTGACTCTACCTGCCAGGCTTCCATTTCCTGTCCCAGGAAGCCTGTGCATATGAGGATTGGCCCATAGGGGTATGCACTTGCTTTACCACCTTTGGAATTTAAGGACTACCCAATTCAGGTCCTACAGGCAACCCACTGAAAAAGCCTGGGGGTTTACTGCTGAGAGCCATAGCCGAATCCGAATGACCGCATGGCATTTTTGCCAGAACGGAGTGGTTGAGAGGTGACGCCAGCAAGCCATTGAGATGATAATGATTATGTTAAGCTGTGTGTATTAGACCCCTGCTGTCCGCCTCGGCCTGCTACTTTGGAGTTCTCCCGGGGATTCCCGGAGAGTTCCCATTGGTTGGGGATTTCCGGTTGGTGACATGGCAGGTTCAGGATCATGGATGACCTGGCTTTCGGGGGCTGTGCTTCCCACAGAACGCTGGTGTCCCTGGGTTTACCAGGGTATCTGCTTCATAAGCTTACATTTTAAAAACTAGAGAAAGAAACCTTAAAATGACTCACTTGATATATTTCTCATCAACCAAGGGGTTGGAGGGATCCTTCTTGCTCTCCATTTCCAATGTCCAGTGACCTGAGAAGTTTGACTGCATGCATGAGACACTCATGAAATGTTGACAGTGGCCCACGGCTGAGACTCGGTCAGCACTGGCAGGGGCAAGGACTCCTTTTTCCTATATTTTGGCCATTGATTTTCTACTTCTGAACCAAAAACCAACACAATTATTACATTCATACCAGAAAAGTCAAAGACTTTATAATAAAGACTGTTGTGCAGTCTTTAAATAGCAATGTTATGTCAAGTAAACTGAAGAAGGAAGTGAATAATAGATCTTGTGAGAGCCTTCCATAGAAACTGGGCTAAAAATGAAGGGGATAGGGGCAGTATATAAGGGTGTCCCCCAGCAGAAGGAGGCACCAGACCTGCCTCTCCTCTCCTGAGTCTTCTCACTGCACCTGAGTCCTCTCTACTGACACCATGGGTTGCTCTGGCTGTGGAGGCTGTGGTGGCTGCAGTGGCTGCGGTGGCTGCGGTGGCTGTGGTGGCTGTGGTAGCTGCAACAGCTGCACCACATGCAGATGCTACCGGGTCGGCTGCTGCTCCAACTGCTGCCCCTGCTGCCGTGGCTGCTGTGGGGGCTGCTGCAGCACCCCTGTGTGCTGCTGCCGCCGCACCTGCTGCCGCTCCTGTGGCTGTGGCTCCTGTGGCTGTGGCTCCTGTGGCTGTGGCTCCTGTGGCTGTGGCTCCTGTGGCTGTGGCTGTGGGAAGGGCTGTTGCCAGCAGAAGTGCTGCTGCCAGCAGAAGTGTGGCTGCAAGAAGCAATGCTGCTGCTAGGTGGGTGGGTCTGCAGGAGCTGCTGGGAGTCAGCTGCTTCTCATTGCTCAGAACCCTTCCCCTCCTGGCTGCTCCCTGCTATCTCCCCGTCACCTGGGCTTTAGGGCACATTTCTCCTTGACGTTCCCGCTCTGTAGCTTAAGAAGTCATTTTCATTTTTATAGTCTCAGGGATATCTTCTACAATGTCATCCAGAGCAAAGGTAGAAAACCTCCTGGCAATACTTCTGTCGGGACTGAGGCACTTAGATGCTGCTCATTGGGCTGCCCTAGGGGAGTCTGTAGCTGTGGATGGGGGATGATTCTTGATTTTGGTCCTGTCTGCTATTTCCAGACCCACCAGCCCTGCTGTGAGGGACTGATCTCTTCTAGTTCTGTCTTTGAATCTTGGTTTTCTGTGATCCTTCCCAATTGAAGAGTGTCGAAACCAGTATGACCAGTTACATTCAAAGATACAAGTGCCTCTCTGTACCTGAACACCAACCCTATGGGATCTAGACCAATGGGATCTAGATTCTCAATATTTTGCTCCTAGCATGTGTTTATGGCTTCTGTATACCAACATCCACCTTTCCTGACTGTGAGTACAGTGGATTCCTGATTTCTCTGTTGCTGCATTGTATTTCCACAATCTTTCAATGTCTAATAAATAAATGATACTAAGTTGACCTTAAAATATTGACTCACAAAAGTCTCTTATTTGGTAACTACTTCTGAGAAAGGATAGAGGTTCAATATTGAGTAGAGAGGAAATAATTTTTGTATCAATGAATTTACTGTGAATTTGAACTACTTTTGTAATGGCAGATCTACATCAATCAATGTTTGCCAGGCGTGGAGGCACACACGTGTAATCCCAAAGGCTGAGGAGGTTGAGGCAGGAGGATTGCAAATTCAAAGCCAGCCTCAGCTATTTAGTAAGGCCCTAAGCAACTTAGCAAAATCTATCTTAAAATAAAAAATAAAAGGGACTGAGGATGTGGCTCAGTAGTTAAGCATCCCTGGGTTCAAGTCCTGGTACCAAAAAAAAAAGAAAGAAAGAAAACATCATTAAATTTTTAATATTTCATCTGTTTTGCATCTATATTGAGACCTGAAATATTTTTTTTCAAAAATGGTAAATTAACTTATAATAATAGCCATGTGTGCATGTGGAGGTGTAAACACACAAAAACACACACATACACACACAAATGACAAAATCCACCTTGGGCATCAGAATTTCTGCCCTTGTTATTCATGCATATTTCCTCATAGGAAAAAATAATTCTAATAAAAATATGGATTTCCCATATAATTCAAATTCAACTTGGGAAAGGTATCTTTTTGACAAAGGGAATTCTGTAATTGAATTTAAAACTTAGTTTAGTCACAAAAGATGGATTCCCCCAGATTTTTAGCCAAGTCCAGGTCTACCTACAATCTAAATGTTCTCTATAACAGAACACAACCCTGCTCCTGATTTAGAATTTCATTTTCACATTCGATGTAAACAAATCAGCCTTTGGAGCTCTGAAGCTTTCACGTGAGCTCTGTCTGCCATCCTTTTTGCAACAACGAAGTGTTTAGGAGGGAAGTGTCATGGGCAACACCACAGCAATCCTGCACTAAAAGGACATGGCTATAGAGAGCTCATCCTACACATGCCCTTTATTTTATTAATGTATTATTATTAAAATGTTAGGTTTTTTCTTTTTTATTAATTAATTTATTTTAATTAGGTATTATGACAGCAGAATGCATTTTGATTCATTGGACACAATTGCAGTGCAACTTTCCATTTCTCTGGTTGTAAATGATGTAGCGTCTTACCATATGTGCAGCCATACACATACCCAGGGTAATGATGTCCATCTCAGTCCATCATCTTTCCTGCCCCCAGGCACCCTTTCTTCACATGTCCCTTGAACAATTTCTTTCTCAGTCCCCACAACTTGATTTTTTGGAAATGGATCACAAACTGTCAACAAGGACCCAGAAAAATCGTCAATGCCCTCTCTACCATTTTGGTAAGAATGCTAAATGAGAGATTCCCTAGGACAGCAATATGTTCATCTGTACATTTAAGAGGAAAAGCACATGACTTTCATTTCAGAACTTTCTCATCCTGGACAAAGGCATTGTTTCTTATTTATTGAAGTGTATAGAATAAAAGACTAGGGAAATCCTAATTGGCTGTTACTAGAGCCAGATTAAATGGGTGACACAGCCATACAAGGGATTATCGCACAGTTGTCAGAAAGAGTGAGCCAGATCTCTAAGAAAGAAGAAATGGTGTGAGATGGAAGAAAGAAGTGGATTGTGTGTGATATCATTTGTGTAAATAGAAATTTATCCAAAAACATCATGACACATACTCAAATGAAAGCTTTACCCAGTGAGGTGCATGTGAGATGCTGTATGGGGGGCAAAGAAGGGGTTCAGAAAGACTTCAGGAAGAATGGAGCGCTTGCCTCATGGGAAGCCCACCAGTTTCAGAGGCCATGAACATCCTGTGCACTTTTGTGTTGTCACTAGGTCACTCTGAGAAACAAGAGCTACTCACCAGGGAGGGTAGTGCTCCGGGGTGACCTCTGGGGGTCTCTTGAAGCACACATACCAGCTGAGGGGATCCAGGCAAAAACAGCAGCAGTGGCAGCAATGAGGGCTGCCTTCACCGTGGGGAGGGGTACACATTCTTGACCTTCTATTAGCCAAAGACCTCAGTGTTTTACCGTCTCCATCCTTTGAAAGTAAAGCCACACGGGGGGAAGTAAGGGAATTCTTGTTTTTCAAGTTGGCTCAGTCAAAAGATTTTGTTAAATGGATTAGGTTTTATCCTAATCTTATTCTTTGCAGGTTTTCAAATTCTTATAGATTTTGTCCAAAAGATCCTCTTAGGTCAGGGAGTTAGACCACACCTAGATTCCCAAGAAAACTATCCAGTTGAGAGAGACTCATCCCAAAACACACTCAACAAGCAGATGTGAGGGCTGTTCCAGAAGGTTTTGGATAGTAAGGGCCTCCCGCATCCTGGAGGTGGCGCTGCACCTGAACACCAACCCCTACCTTGCTCCCAAGCCACCTGTTGTTACCTACGGAAACTGACCTGGCGTACTGGAAGGGAAAAATGGGGAAGATAAAAAGCCTTTCCCATCTTTCTTTAAAAGTTTTTTTTTTCATGAATTTAACATAGCAAGTTCATTATAAACAATTTTAAAGTGTTTTCTTTATGGAAATTAAAAAAGGAGAAAATGAACATGTCTGTGACAACCACCTGAACCATTTTATCATCTAGCCTTCCATCACTTCCCTATGCTTTATTTTTACCCAATATTTTTATTTTGTAGAATCTCAAAACCACATTAAAGTCCAAAGAACATTACATTCACACCAGGTATGCCATTTAGTTCAGCTCATCAGTGGGAACATTCTGCCATATATTTTTTGTTCTCTCTCCCACTTGAGAGTAAGTTACAGAAATGACATTCACTCCTAAAAGTTTTTGTATATATCTCCCAAGGATACTGTCCTATATAGAATCACCAAACAAGAATCAAATTCAAGAAATTTAAGTGACACTTTCTACTATGTAATATGCAATTGACCTGAAATTTCCCCAATTATCCCAGGAATGTCCTATAGTTTACATCTGTATTTGTAATAATGTTTCACCCTGGATCCAGTCAAAGAGGTATTTTTAGTCAGCTTTAATCTAGAATGGTCCTCCAACATTGTATTTTTTGCCCCTGTGACTTGTGTTTTGGAAAATAATTCTTGATATGGATATTATGGTTGTTTCCTCGTGATCAGATTCCACTTCAGCGTTTTTGTGGGAATGTGATGCAGTTGGTGTATGTTTTCTCTGTGGATCACATCAAGAAGTGTGTAGTGTCAGTTTATTCCATTACTGGGGATGTTCAGTGTGACCTCCCAACTAGCATGATGTCCACCAGATTCCTCCATTGCTAATACCCTCTTTCCCCTTTAATTTATATGGCACTATTTCTTGTGCATTTATATAATAAAATTAAAAGCATTATGAATGTATAGTTTTGTGACCCGATTTTTAACCTAATGTTTAATCATGGATAAATACCCTTGTTGTTAAATATTTACATTTTAGAAACTTTTAAATGACCACATGTATTAATCTGTTTTCTGTTTCTAATAATAACATCACAGACTGGGTAAGCCTTAACAAAAACAACTTTATTTTGGTTTATGGTTCTGGAGGTGCAAGGTCAAGGGCTGCATCTAGAGATGGCTTTCTTGCTGGTCGAGTCCCCAGGTGGTGAGAAGCATCACTTGGGAAGAGACAGAAAGCACACCTGTGTGTCTGCATGTCTGGTCTCTCTCCCTCTTTTTAGAAAGCTAGCAGAATTTAATCATGGTCATTAAATAATAACCTCATCTAATCCTAGTCACTTCCCATAGTTAAATTAAGTTTCCATGCTCCAAGTACCTCACAATGGGGATTAAAGTCCAGCATGAGTTTTGGATACAAACCGTATTCAAGCCACAGCATCACATAATAGGCAATTATGTGCATAATTTCTATAATCATCTCATATCCATCAAGTGCCCAAGCAATTATATATTTAGCTGACCACTTGGAAAAAAAACTTGGATCCTGACCATAAAAATGAAATGACAAAAATATTTTTTTTCTTTTTTCCTGAATTTGAAATGATCACGGGCTCTGGCTGCAAAACTGGTATGAAGAGGTCCCAGATTCTCTTAACCCAGTGGTACCTTCTTACACAACTATAGCACAGTGTAAAATAGTGTTGTGTGAGTGTGGTGGTGATGGTGGTGTTTACATAAAACCCATATATCATATCAAATTCCTATAAATTCTCCTGATATCCACTGTTTGTCCATCACTCAGGCTAATCTTTCAAGGGCGGAGCACAACTTTTCAGATCCCAGGTTATAATTTTAGGGGCAATGTTCTATTAAAAGTCCAAGGACAACAGATGACAATTTAAAATCATGACCAAACACAAGCTTTGGAAGCCTTGCAAGGGCTCAGACCTGGGCCCCACCTTCCCTCTACCATCCCTCCAGCCTGGCAGCACCTGCCACCTCCCCCCCACCCACACACCTCAGGTTTCTTCACTCTCCTGGGAGTTCAGCCAGAAACCACAATTAAACTGCAATGAAAGGAGGAGAAACACCCTCCAGCAGGGCCTCAGCCTACGCCCTGTTCCCAGGACCCTAAAGTAATGGATAGACAGATTATCTGCTCCCTTCAGGGTAAAACCCAACCTCCTCCTACCCATGTGGGTTTTCCTTTTGCCCAAGTTCATGGCTTAAGTCATTTCAGGACAAAATAGCCACCATGTTCAGTACCTCCTGACACTCAAACCCTGACCAAAAAGACACTGTTACCCCCTTGTATCTTATTTTCCTTTCACACCCTGCACTGGATGGGTCAGCACCCCTCATGGTCTGCACCCCTCTCCCACAGGTCCAAGCCACATCTGCTCCACCCTGCAAGGATTCCTCAGGATGGTGCAGGCCCATGTAGGCCCTTCTAGGGTCCATTCCTAGGGAACTGTTTATAATGATTCTTTTTCATGGAAGGCAGAAGATCTCCTTTCTAGACCTGAACACTTGCCATCTCTCCCATTCACCAGCAGTCAAAGCCAAAGTCTGGAATGACCTAAACTAACACCTGTGAAATGCAACAGCCCTCCCATCCCTTACTTTCCTGACCCCTGCTCTAGTGGCACCCTTATTCAGTTGATTGAGTCGAACTGCCTTTTCGTGCAGCCTTCCCACTTTCTAGAATGCTCTACAAAGTCCCAGAGAACTGGAGCGCCCACTCCCTCACCACTCTGTAGTCAGGTGTCATATTCCACCTGAGTCCTTTTTAGATCACCCAATTTTGCAATCTCACCCACTCTTCTCTCAGTTCCAATCCTTCCTATTCTTTTATTTTTTCACCTAAAACTTGCCTCATTTTAACAACATTTATTTTTCAGGAACACAAAAACTATGGACCATAATCTCTTTCTTTTATAAAATACTTTAAGCCTAGCCTTCTTTATTCATTTTGCTGTTCATTTTAATCATGTAACAGTCCAGGACCTTGACAATACAGTCTAACAATAAGGCTTGTCACCACACAGCCTATTCTCCTGTACCCTTACCCCCAAAATAGCCCTTACCCTAAAGCCTGTGTTTGCCATGACTTTGCTTTTTTTTTTTTTTTTTTGGTGCTGGGTATTGAACCCAGGGCTTTGTGCATGTGAGGCAAGCTCTCTACCAACTGAGCTATATCCCCAGCTCCTATGACTTTGTTTTTCTTTGGAAAAGAAAAACATCTAAATTCATTCCTTTCTGTGAATATACAATAATTTACTTGTGCACCTTTTCTCTAGACAATGGGAATTCCTATTTTTTCCAGAGTTTTGCTATTTTTGATAGAGTTGCTAGGAGCATCCTTGTATGTGTCCACTGGAACCCAGGTGCAAGGATTTATACACAAAGTAGAATTCCTGAGTCTTGTGGAAATACATGAACTAAGTGAGCACAGAAAAAGCCTATTTTACCCAGTGTTTGTCATAGCAAAGAAGTTAGTTCACTGCTTATATTTTGGCAGAGATTCAAATGCATGCAGGGGAGTGGCAAAGAATT